TACTTTACTGAACACAAGTTTTCAATTATTTTTCAACATCTTCAGTTTATTCAAGAAAATAGTTCAAATATTTACTTCTATAATATGCTTAATGCAAAAGCATTATTTTAACTAAAGCAGGAGTTTAAATGCTCGCAAAAATTTCCCAGCATTCCAAAAATACAACAAGTTTATGTTAAATTACGGTAATAATACCATAAAATCACATTGTGATTCTATGGTATTTTAACGTTTTATTGTAATCACATTATAATTGTGGTAATAAAACGCCACTGGATGTTTTTTAACCAATTTATACATAATTTTGCATGTTTGAATTGTTTTTCAAAATAACATTTGTTTAATGTTGAAATTTCACTGCAATTTTAAAGAAATTTGTTACAGTGCAGGACTGAGGCTGTAGACCCAGGACTGAGGCTGTAGACCCAGGACTGAGGCTGTAGACCCAGGACTGAGACTTAAATGAACAGACTACAGCTGAAGCCATGATGTCGACAGATAAAGTCGGAGAGAGCAGAGGATAGTGCAGTTCCCACACTCCTCCAGCAGGGGTCACCATATGCAGCGTCACTGACAATCTGTGTGTTTCTTGAGTTTCTTGTGGACTTTGACTCGTAATTGTAAAGCTCCAGGCCACAGAATGATTAACGCTGGTTTTCGACGGTGAAGGCTTTAAACCTGCAATAAAAATATGGAATGGATCTGTTTTCGTGAGGCTTGTGTCGAGCTGATGCCAGAAAACTGTAAAAATATGAAGTTTAGAAAATAAGTATAGACACTGACAAACACACACACACACACACACACACACACTGGGAATTCACTGAGGCAGAGTAACACACACACTACAGGAGTACTCGAGTAGCAGCACATACATACACTACAGTAGTACGCGAGTAGCAGCAGCACATACATAGATGACAGTAGTACTCGAGTAGCAGTAGCACAAATATACATTACAGTAGTACTCGAGTAACAGCAGCACATACATAGATGACTATAGTACTCGAGTAGCAGCAGCACATACATAGATGACAGTAGTACTCGAGTAGCAGCAGCACATACATAGATGACAGTAGTACTCGAGTAGCAGTAGCACAATTATACATTACAGTAGTACTCGAGTAACAGCAGCACATACATAGATGACTATAGTACTCGAGTAGCAGCAGCACATACATAGATGACAGTAGTACTCGAGTAGCAGCAGCACATACATAGATGACAGTAGTACTCGAGTAGCAGTAGCACAAACATAGATGACAGTAGTACTCGAGTAGCAGCAGCACATACATAGATGACAGTAGTACTCGAGTAACAGCATTACATACATAGATGACAGTAGTACTCGAGTAGCAACAGCACATACATAGATGACAGTAGTACTCGAGTAGCAGTAGCACAAACATACATTACAGTTGTACTCGAGTAGCAGCAGCACATACAAAGATGACAGTAGTACTCGAGTAGCAGCAGCACATACATAGATGACAGTAGTACTCGAGTAGCAGTAGCACAATTATACATTACAGTAGTACTCGAGTAGCAGCAGCACATACAAAGATGACAGTAGTACTCGAGTAGCAGTAGCACAATTATACATTACAGTAGCACTCGAGTAGCAGCAGCACATACATAGATGACAGTAGTACTCGAGTAGCAGCAGTACATACATAGATGACAGTAGTTCTCGAGTAGCAGCAGCACATACATAGATGACAGTAGTACTCGAGTAGCAGTAGCACAATCATCCATTACAGTAGTACTCGAGTAGCAGCAGCACATACATAGATGACAGTAGTACTCGAGTAGCAGTAGCACAATTATACATTACAGTAGTACTCGAGTAGCAGCAGCACACATAGATGACAGTAGTACTCGAGTAGCAGCAGCACATACATAGATGACAGTAGTACTTGAGTAGCAGCAGCACATACATAGATGACAGTAGTACTCAAGTAGCATCAGCACATACATAGATGACAGTAGTACTCGAGTAGCAGCAGCACATACATAGATGACAGTAGTACTCGAGTAGCAGCAGCACATACATAGATGACAGTAGTACTTGAGTAGCAGTAGCACAATTATACATTACAGTAGTACTCGAGTAGCAGCAGCACATACATAGATGACAGTAGTACTCGAGTAGCAGCAGCACATACATAGATGACGGTAGTACTCGAGTAGCAGCAGCACATACATAGATGACTGTAGTACTCGAGTAGCAGCAGCACATACATAGATGACAGTAGTACTCGAGTAGCAGCAGCACATACATAGATGACAGTAGTACTCGAGTAGCAGCAGCACATACATAGATGACAGTAGTACTCGAGTAGCAGCAGCACATACATAGATGACAGTAGTACTCGAGTAGCAGCCGCACATACATAGATGACAGTAGTACTCGAGTAGCAGCAGCACATACATAGATGACAGTAGTACTCGAGTAGCAGCAGCACTAGATGACAGTAGTACTCGAGTAGCAGCAGCACATACATAGATGACAGTAGTACTCGAGTAGCAGCAGCACATACATAGATAGTAACTTTACTCTAACATAATACCAGAGTACATGTACAAAGCTTAAGAACACAGACTTTCTTCTGCATTGTTCAGAACCAGTCCAACCACTTTTGGGCCGGGTCAGTGTCAGTCACAAGTCAATCCAGACGCTTCACTTTTGGAGAAAGAATAAAGCTGAGAAGTGTCTCTGAGCGTCCAAAAAACATGTGTGTAGAATGGATTGTTCTAAAACACTTGTTATTGTTAGAGAAAATGAAAGATTTAGATTTGATAGATTCTATGAATGCAGAGAAATGTGTTGAATAAAGACTGAACCAAAAGCAACAAAAGTCATTCTACAGAAAGAAGTTTACTGTGGATTTGAATCAGACACACAACAACAATGAAGACAGTGTCAAAGGTACTGTAGTGTGTGTGTGGGACGTTTGGACACACACAGAGACACACACATATACACACACACATAGACACAAACACATAGACACACACACATAGACACAAACACATAGACACACACACATAGACACACACACATAGACACAAACACATAGACACACACACATAGACACACACACATAGATACACACACATAGACACACACACACACGCACACACACACACACACACACGTGCCCTCACAAAAGGCTGGGGTGTGTTGGGCTTGGGGGTGGGCTGGCCTGGCCTTAGACCCAGGGTTCATATCTCCCCAGTCTCCCCAGAAAAGTTCCCTGAAAAGCGGGCTTGGAGTAGACCCAACTGGCATGGCATGGTCCTTACAAACCTGTGCAGCCCTTGGACCAAGGTACCCACTCTTAAACACCCCTTCTCCAACTGGAAACCTCCATACGCACCTGGCAAATCTTTGCGACCCTGGGACTACGTGCATATTTCGAGTGTGCCTAGGACTATGTGCAGATTTGAAAGTTACTCTTAAGTGTCGTCCACACTTAGTACCAGGCACACTTGAATATTATACTATCTATTCAATTGCAGACAACATTGTCCTTTGCATGCAAATAAGCACGTAGTCCGAGGGTCACAGAGTTTTGCCGGGTGCATAAGAGTGGGTACCCGGGTCCGAGGGGTGCACAGGTCTGTGGGGACCATGCCATGGTGAGATAGAACCCCTGGGTCTTTGGCTATAATCCGAGTATGATGGCCCGTCACAGGAAAATCTTGCCGGCATTTAGTAACCCATGGGAGTCGTGTGCTGAATCGTGTGCTTCGATGTGAGTTGTTGAAAGAACATGTCATTCCAGATAACAGACAAGTGGTTTATCCAATGACATAAAAGGATTTTTTTTTTACAAGCCCTCGCCCTCTGGAATGTATCAGGTAAGAAGCAGACCCAGACCCTTGTGTGAAACTCAGCGAACAACAAGGGTCTGCCGGGAGTCAGGCTGTAACGTGGCCACAGACCTGGAAACGGGGACAGATTTCACCTTTGTCCAAATGCCTTCGTTCCTGTCGTTGTGGGTCTGCTGTCCCCGTGTGGACAAAAAGCGAATCAATCAATAAACTTTTATTAGTAGAGAACCTTTCCTACAGCATCAATCATAAACTTTAAAATCTACATAAACATTAAAAGAAACAAAAAAAGAAACTCACAGTCAAAAATAAACAATAAGATCACAAAAAATATTAAAAACATAAAACATAAAATCACACAAGTAATTAAAACATAAACAAATCGCTCATGGGATTATTATCATCAATAGCCACAGTTCATTTAAAAATATAAAATCATTTGTGATCAGAAAATCTCAGATATCATGGATTAATTTTGTCAATTGAAATGCTAGCTGGAATATTCATTTGGCAAAGAATGCGAAATGATATATTTAGTAGAAAATAGAAAGTGAGACAAGTGTGAATAGTAAACAATGCTCTCCGCCTGTAACTCCTGAAGCTGCCACTAGAGGGAGGTGGAGAATTATTATTTTGTTTTTGTTTGCAGTCTGTAATTTTCAAATGTGATTGTTACGAATGTACTTTAATCTGAGGAACAACCAGAGCCCATTTATGTGCAATACTTTTGTTACTCAGGACTGAGACAGGAGATTTTAGACGTATGTTTTTTTTTTTTACTATAAGGCTAAATGCTGACCGTAAACCAGGAACAGCACCATGAAAAATTGTCTTTACCTGCCACAGAAAGTTGTTTACCAAGAGACAAAAACTGATATATTTATATTGAAATTTAGTGCTGATCCAGAACCTTTATGGACAGATATGGACAGCGGTTCTCCCTGTTTGATTCTCTGATCTGTTGTTGGCAAATCGACAACTTTTTAAAGTCCTCCAAGGCGACTGCTGTTGTGATCTAGGGCTTCACACAAATACATTGAATTGAATTAAATGTATGTGAATATGATTAGTTATTTTTTTGTGTTTTGTAAAAATAGGTACCCCAGCTTTAATGCTACCAAGTTTAGTGACAAGGAAAGTTTATTTTATGATTTCAGATTCAGATGTGGCCTCAATCAGCAGTGGCTGCGGTGATGTCAGACGAAATTCCCTCACGAGGAGGCTGCCCTGCTCTCTGCTCTCTGATTGGGCACACCTTCCCCACATCCCTCTCTCTCTCCGCTGTGATTGGCTTCTCTGCGTCTCTTCCGCCTCCGGACTGCGCGCTCATTGGCTCCCTCACGTGTCCGTCAGCAGAAGCCCATCCGCCCCTCGCATAGAGCCATGGGTCTGCTGATGTGGGACCAGCCCTGGAAGCCAATCAGAGCGCTGCACACACAGGCAAGGTCCAGGCGTGCGCGCGTCTGCACCTCTGCGTGTGCACGAGGAAGGGACGTTCAAGAGCCTCTGTCATTGTCGGAGATTTAAGAAGACAGAAAAGTAACAACAATGTGTCTACTGACTCTAGATGGGAAGATATGAGGACTTTCCGCTCGATACTTATCAAATATAGTAAAGTTTTATGACATTGAAAAGTAGGTCAAATTATATTGTCTTATGAATATGAACTGAATGTACTTTTGCTGCTTTTTAGAATCAGAATATAAAGAATCTGAATTATTTTGAGCAACAAGAGGTCACAAACTAGGAATTTCCTTTGACTCATGGTGCAAAAAGTAATCTTCATAGAATTTCTTAGAGTTACTACTGTGCATACAAGTGCAGTAAGTACAGACATTATTATAGATCCATGGGTACACACAATAGACACACAAAATAGCCCCTTTTTATGGATTTTAGCTGTGCATATTTTGTTGTCGTTTGATATATCTATTGTGATGTAATTTTATAAAGCATATTTAATTCGCTCGTGTTTGAATTTCTCCATACAATGCACTTGTTACAGTCAGTCCAAGCAGATCTCCAGGTGAATGAGTGTTTTAAACCCGGTGCTTTTTCAGAGCAGAGGTGCAGCAGCTTGAGCCCATTTCTGCTGGCCAGTGTCTGAATAATGGATTTTTCAGATACCTCCAAATGATACAATGACAACATGACTTCATGGGAAACAAGAGCCAAGGAACCTCATAAAGAATGTCAATAATAGTAATGTAATGATTATGCTACGACACACAGGCTTAAATCAATGTGGTAGACAATGTTTGTATGTATGTGTATGTATCGCTTCTAGTATTGGTTTTTGTATTGTTGTTATATTGTTATTGTCTGAATGGCTGGGAGGGGATTGGAATAATATCAGCTTCTTACTTCATCCAATCCAATTTTAAACTAGGTACAGATGTTTTTTTTTTTCATTTTTATATTATTTTTCTTTTCCATTAACAATTGTTGGCAAATGTTGTGCATGTTGTACAAAAATACAACAATATTAATAATCAAATTATTCAATCAATTATTCTACATGTGTAATTATCTAATTGCATATTAGATTTGATAGTTATATAAGATATTGTTTGAGCATGAAGCGTTTATTCTAACTGTTTTAGTTTTAATTTAGAATCTTTTTGAGGTTTGTATTGAAAGCGACGAGGGCTAGCAAACTGATGCTTTTTTCCCCCCTAACACAGTTCAACTAAGACCGGTACTTTTCCTTCTTCTCACCAAAAGCGCTAACTTTGACCAAATTAACTATTCGTAACAACCAATCATATCTGTCTTGAAAACTGTTTATATATAATAATGATATAATGATGGTGAAAAAATAAACATTTGCTAGCATAACATACAGGAGTGTTGCGGGGGAAAAAAGTACCCGTGAACTGCTCATACGTCCAAAATTATAAACAGAGCTCCTTTCTGATCTTGCTTTGTCTTTTGAAACTGACATTTTCTAATTTGAGTTAAGAAAAATAAATACATTACTGTTTGAATTATGTTTCATTGCAATTTATGTGAAACAAAAGGGTACTACACTCAACAAAACGGAGAAAGAGTGACAAGGAAGCAGGTCTTCGTACGTATTTGGACGCAACCACTGCAGGCACGATTATGGCAGGTGGGCGGTGCGTGCTGTCACTTTTACACGCGAGTTTCCCATAGATCTTTGCGAGTTTCAGGCAACTTCCGCTAATCTTTCAGCCCCCATGCCGTCACAAAGCGCCACTGAGCACAACCATTCATTTGAACAGGGCGCCATCTTGGATCGCCGGGGCTTGACCGCTCCACGCTCTTCGCGGTCAGTCGTTCTGCTAGCAACCGCTCCTGCAACTTCACCCGTGATTCCTCATCCAACATGTCCAAAGACACCGACAAGAAGAGCGACAAGATCATGGACATGGAGTGCGAGGCGCTGTGGTACCCGGACGCCAAGAAGGACACGCAGATGGACCGGTGCAGGACGAGGATCAACAGGGACTTTGGGCTTAACCTGGGTGAGTGAGAGATCCTTCTGGAGAGCCCTATAGTCTGTGGTGAAGAAGAGGAGGCTAGCCGGGTCTGAGATGGATGGACTTGTTATGCCACGTGAAGACTCCTCCAAATGCAATGTTGTTGTGGTAATACATGTGTAATGTAGGCCTGCCATGTATCATAGCCCTGTTTCCACCAGCCGCACTTTCCACCAGCCGCACTCTACTCTGCTTTACTCTAGCCCTGTTTCCACCAGCCGCACTCTACTCTGCTTTACTCTACTCTTCTCTACTGTATATGACTATACTTTACTCTACTCTACTTGACTGTACTCTTCTGTACTGTACTCTACTTGGCTCTACTCTACTCTTCTCAGCTCTACTTGACTCCCTCTACTTGACTCTACTCTGCTCTACTCGACTGTACTTGACTATACTCTACTCTACTGTACTGTACTGTATTCTACTTGACTCTACTTGACTCTACTCTTTTCCTTTTTTCATGGCGTTTCTACCAATTCCGTTTTACTGGTACCAGGTACTTTTTAGTACCGTCTTGGCCCTGGTTCGATACAGACCGAGCTGGTACTAAAGTGTTCTAAAGTCCAGTTTCCAGCAGCGCTACTTGCTCCTGCTCTACCCTACTCTACTCTACCTGGTTGTGTTATGATTGTGCTTTAGAATCTGGTGCCGTATCCTAGTAACCTACTCATAACATACCAGTATTCATGGAAATTCCTTGGTAACCATGGCTTCCAGCAGCACTCTGACCAATCACTGTCATTTAGAACACTTTAGTACCGGAATATAAATAAGGACCTGGAACTGGTTAAACAGGCCTCCCAGAAACATTCCTATAGAGGGATCCTACGGTCACGTGACTAGCAGCCACGGCAGCCATACTGGAGGACAACCTCGGCGAGTAACAGCCCTGCTAGCTATCTATAACTGGACGTTCAAAACTAGAACTCTCTCGAACTACATGAAAACTGAACAGAGAATTTGAAACTTCAGCATGGTGACCCAAATATATACTCAACCTAAATTCATGAATCAGATCCTCTGAAAATGCATCCTAAAATGTATTATTAATGTTTATCGTTACATCCAGGTTTACCGCGGTCGCATATTGTCGCATTAAAACAGTGTTTTTTCATGAAAACGTGAACAGAAAATTCTGAAAACCTCTGTGCACGTGTATTAAGAATGTATATGTATAATGTATTCTCTAATTAACATTTAATGTGTTTATTGTTACACCATGGATCTATGTGTGGCTACACTGCAGTGGAAGTAATGAGATTACATTCAAATCAATGGAGCTTTCTGCGTCTACTGTGAGGAGCCGTATATTTTATTAATAAATACTAGTACGGGGCACCCTGGAGCACGGCTCAGTCGTTCACATGTCTGCTGGCCTTCGGTAAGTCAGATACCCTGTGAACCGGGTGAGGTCCTGTGTGAGACCAAATATATAACAGCTATGCTACAAGCTAAGCTACAGTCTTTGGAGCAACCCCACGTTGCAGTCAGACAGATATATTTTATCTTTAAACTTCTGTTTGTTTCGGAATAACACTAAATCCGCCATCAAATTGATTTCACTTAGCAGAAATGAAATGATCCATATTCGGGCGCTCTGGTGGCTATTAGTTTTTTGTTGTTGCGTATGGTTGTGCCATTTCTCTCTCGTTTCTTTGAGATGTCTTCTGTTTTTGAGCCGTGTGAAGTAAGGACGGCTGGCAGTCGGTAACACGACTTATTTTCCCTGTCTCTCCTTTTGCTGCAGCCAAAAACGGCAAAAATGTTGAACATGTTTATGCGGTCCCGGGTGCACGCCACTATCATACAGCGTTTGCTTGTCCTCCAGTATGGCGGATGCCCCGCGAGTTCGAGGCATCGTGACGTCACGTGAGATATCTCTATTCAGAGTACAGTAGAGTACAGTAGAGTACAGTAGAGTACGGTACAGTAGAGTACGGTAGAGTACGGTAGAGTACGGTAGAGTACGGTAGAGTACGGTAGAGTACAGTAGAGTACAGTAGAGTACAGTCTGACTGTATTGGTCAGAGTAGTGCTGGAAGAAATGGTTACCAAGGAATTTCCCACATATACAGGTTTGTTGTGGGTACGTTTTTGATACAGTACCAGATACTAAACGTAAAGGAAATTCTCCCATAATGGTGGTTTAATCAAATACCATTGTTACAATTGCACTGTAACACGCACACGCACGCACACGCACGCGCACGCACGCACACGCACGCACACGTACAGACACACAAGTTTAAACGATAAGGATGTTTTTTCATTTATATTTTTAAAATAAGATCTTCATACAATTCATTCGTTCAAACTGTTTGATAATTACACAACTATAACCAAACATGATTACATTTTTATGTATTTGTGTATAGCCTTAAATCACAACTCAGGACTGAGGCTGTAGATCATGTAGACCCAGGACTGAGGCTGTAGATCATGTAGACCCAGGACTGAGGCTGTATATCCAGGACTGAGGCTGTAGATCATGTAGACCCAGGACTGAGGCTGTATATCCAGGACTGAGGCTGTAGATCATGTAGACCCAGGACTGAGGCTGTAGACCCAGGACTGAGGCTGTAGATCCAGGACTGAGGCTGAAGATCATGTAGACCCAGGACTGAGGCTATAGATCCAGGACTGAGGCTGTAGATCATGTAGATCCAGGACTGAGGCTGTAGATCATGTAGACCCAGGACTGAGGCTGAAGATCATGTAGACCAAGGACTGATGCTGTAGACCCAGGACTGAGGCTATAGATCATGTAGACCCAGGACTGAGGCTGAAGATCATGTAGACCCAGGACTGATGCTGTAGACCCAGGACTGAGGCTATAGATCATGTAGACCCAGGACTGAGGCTGTAGATCCAGGACTGAGGCTGAAGATCATGTAGACCCAGGACTGAGGCTGTAGATCCAGGACTGAGGCTGTAGACCCAGGACTGAGGTTGGAGACCCAGGACTGAGGCTGTAGACCCAGGACTCAGGCTGTAGACCCAGGACTCAGGCTGTAGACCCAGGACTCAGGCTGTAGACCCAGGACTCAGGCTGTAGATCCAGGACTGAGTCTGTAGACCCAGGACTCAGGCTGTAGACCCAGGACTCAGGCTGTAGACCCAGGACTGAGGCTGTAGACCCAGGACTGAGGCTGTAGACCCAGGACTGAGGCTGTAGATCCAGGACTGAGGCTGTAGACCCAGGACTCATGCTGTAGCTTTCATACTTTTCCTGCTTTGACGCTGTGGTTCTGTTTGCAGCGAACTATCAGGATCTGTACCAGTGGTCAGTCGACAATTACCCCGAGTTCTGGGCCCAGGTGTGGAACTGCTGTGGCGTGGTGTGCTCCAAACCGTACGAAGAGGTGAGAGAGACCACTTAACCTCATGTTTGTGATGGGCGTGGACTTCTGTATTTGCTTCCATCCATTCACAAATGCCTCCCAACGCTGACACATCACATTGTATTCTTTAACCTGTTTATTAAAGCTGTCTAACCTTCCTATTAGGGCTGTGCGATACTGGAAATTAGATATTTTTGTCTTTCACCGAGACAAATAACCAAAAATAAGCACAATTATAATGACATACAAATGCATATATTTATATACTTTTTTGTTTGTTTGTTGTTCTTGTTGAATGTTGGTGTGTCCGTCTAAAAATTATCGCACATCTTTTTGATATGGATATTGCACGTACCAATATCGCGATAATGATTTTTTTGGGATATATCGTGCAGCCCTACTTTCTATTACTGTACAGACATTTGTCCAAGAGACCACAACATCTCGTGTGCATCTCATCAGAAAATACGTTATCTTTTACATACTTGTAATAAAAAGCCTTGTGAGTCACTATTTGACTTTTTGGGCGGAGAGATGATCTGCTGAGAGGGAGGGGGGTCCTCTCTTTGTCACATTTCTGTCTGAAAAAGCAGATCTACAGCATCACAGAAACCAAAAATCACTGTTATTTTATGTGGCCATTAGGGTTGGGCGACAGTAGCTCAGTTGGTAGAGCATTGGCCTTCAGGCCTGAAGGTCGTGGGTTCAATTCCCACCTCTGCACCTTCTCCAGCGACTCCCACTGATGACTGCTGTCGTTGTGTCCTTGGGCAAGACACTTAACCCCACTTTGCCCAAAGCCCCCACTGAAAGATCAAGGCTATGCTCACACTCAGAGAGCAGCCGTCCTCCTGTGGACTCACCACCTGCAGAGGGTCAGTGAGGGGCTGGTGCTATGAGACTTGGGTGGCATCTCTGACTGCCACCCCCCTGACCCAGAAATGGATTAAAGGGCAGAAAATGGATGGATGGATGGATGTATCACGATATGACGATATGATAATTTTAACAAAGCCTCATATAAAAGCTATAAAAAACTTAGCACTGATCATTTTAAACACACTTGCCTCAAAGTGCATTTACTAATTTATTGGCAGCAAAATGTGTAATACAGCTATTGTATATTAAACGTATTAACAAAACTGAATTGTACAGAATTCTGTTTTGTACATACTGAAAATTGCAGGCAACATGTAATAAAGGTGAACATTTGTAATTTGTAAAATATATAAAAGTTTGTCCTTTGTAATATAAAAAGTGTAGCATTATCAAATAATTATTTGATCACTTTGGTTTATGTTTCCTAATCCCAATATAGTCAAAATGATCAAATACTGTATATATTTTTTGTATCCTTTTGCGTTTCTATAATTATGTAATTATAACTTATTTGTAATTATATTGCAATGTAGACAAACGCATGCATTGAAGTAAAATGAATGACAGTAAATAAAGCTTACCAATGGCACTATGAGAGAGAGAGAGAGAGCGAGTGTCCGAAGCAAGCCACTCGAGTCCAGTTGTTTAGCTGCTTTCACAACATTAGATCCACTGTCCATAGTTACACACAATTGCTTCTTTTTATCTAGTTCCCAAACTACTCCCATATGTTTGAGGTAGCTCCGCGTTTTGGCACAATGTCTTCTACAATCTGCATGTCTTCACCATGGTCTTCACCGCCGCCCTCAGCCATGTTTGCTCTCTGCTCTGTTGTTGTTGTCCCTGCACGCCGCTCTGCTACACGTGCCGCGCAGGTGCATCATCAAAGTGCGCCGCACACAAACGTGTCTTCCGCTCGCCGTTTTCAGTGTTAAATGATCGTTTTCACCGGTATAAGGCATTTTCTTATCATTTAATTTACTTATACCGGTACAAAAAAAATATCGCCCAACCCTAGTGGCCATGTGTCTTTCTAACACATTGTGGCCATTACGGCACTTTCACAGCATCACCCAGCCAACTCCAGCTCCACAGATATGGTCATGCTGTACCTTGTTGCTAAGCTCAGAACCTTTGGAATCCAGTTGTTGACTCTATTTGTATAAAACAATATATATTTGTTTACGATTGTGTCTCAAAAGTCCATATGTTGCTAGCTGTGGTGGTCGGGGGGAAAAATTGATTTGGGTTCAGTATCGTGATATTTTACACACGTAATTACATCGATAAAGTAGAGAAAAGTATTGTGATATTTTTCAGAATTATTATCTGTCACACTTTTTTGTTTCACCCTTCTTTGCTTCAGTTAAAAGTATAGAGGAGGATTTTCCCATAGTTTAGGAAAGAACCGCCCTCTCCACTTCTTGAACAACTCTGGTCTTATTTGACGATGACGTATCACCAGAATGATTGACAATTGGGAGGACCAATAGTCTTGATGATCCACCAGGAAGTAGAGTATCATCCTACTGTACCTTTAAAGTGCAGACCATAATAAATGTGACTTGAGTCTTATTTTTCTCAATTTGTTTAATGCCTTTGAATAATGTGAGGGACATCAATCGTAATATATCGCAGAATCGAATCAAAACACTGTCTGTATCGCGATATGTTAAGAATCGCGATAATGATGAATTGTGGCCCAAATTTTAATATTTTCCAAACACTTGAAATGGCTGTTTCCGTATCAACATAAGAGACAAAAAACAATGTGAATGATAATATCAAACAGTGAAAGTTATAGTTCAATAATGCTTAAATTGTCGTTAACTCAACAGACACATTATATGGACATGTCCTGTTGCCGGGTGACACCCACTATGTCAACAGAACTTGGATTTAGTGATTTGCTTCCTTCACACCAGACAACTGCAAGATAGCGATGTTATTACCGTGACATTTGCAGTAAAACCACATTGGAATACATGTGCGAGAGTCCCCAGTGTGCACCAGACAAGATAACAGCAGACTGATAACAGCATGTTAGCATATACAGATGTCCTGCACCTCAGCCAACATTTCTTCTGCCAGAGGGAAGAAGCTGGAACATGGCTTTTCCAGGACCCAGAAGAGTCTGTGATAATTCTAAGAGCTGGATTTAAGAAGCTGGATAATAAAGAACCTCCAGAACAGGCAGCTCACAGTTCTTTTTCAGAGCGGAGCATCTCTCTCTCTGGTCTCTCTCTGGTCTCTCTCTGTTCGCTCTCTCTGGCCTCTCTCTCTGGTCTCTCTCTGGTCTCTCTCTGGTCTCTCTCTCTGGTCTCTCTCTCTGGTCTCTCTCTCTGGTCTCTCTCTCTGGTCTCTCTCTGGTCTCTCTCTCTGGCCTCTCTCTCTCTGGCCTCTCTCTCTGGTCTCTCTCTCTGGTCTCTCACTCTGGCCTCTCTCTCTGGCCTCTCTCTCTGGTCTCTCTCTCTGGCCTCTCTCTCTGGTCTCTCTCTGGTCTCTCTCGGGTCTCTCTCGGGTCTCTCTCGGGTCTCTCTCTGGTCTCTCTCGGGTCTCTCTCTGTTCGCTCTCTCTGGCCTCTCGTTATGGTCTCTCTCTGGTCTCTCTCTGGCCTCTCTCTCAGGTCTCTCTCTGGTCTCTCTCTGTCTCTCTCTGGTCTCTCTCGGGTGTCTCCCTCTGTTATATCTCTCTGGGGTCTCTCTCTGCTCTCTCTCTCTGGTCTCTCTCACTGGTCTCTCTCTGGTCTCGCTCTCTGGTCTCTCTCTCTGGTCTCTCTCTCTGGTCTCTCACCTTGTTTAGATCTCTCCTTTCATTGGCTGTGTTGTCGCCAAACTACACAGTCACAGAGCCGACATTCAAACTAAAGTTGACTTCCTCGTTTACTTTCTCAGGTGGTGGACACTTCCAAGAGGATCTCGGACGTTCCCGAATGGTTCCGAGGAGCACGACTGAACTACGCGGAAAACCTCCTGAAACACGAAGACCAGGACAAAGTGGCTCTGTACGCTGCCAGTGAGTCCACAAAAAACATTCTGACCGCTCTACGCTCACGACGAGCAACAAGTACATGGTTCCACCTTTCCCAATCATGTACTTGTTATTAGTGACCCAAGAGAGAGAGACTAGAGGGAGACTAGTGAGAGACCAGAGAGAGACCAGAGAGAGAGACCAGAGAGAGAGACCAGAGAGAGAGACTAGAGGGAGACTAGAGGGAGACTAGTGAGAGACTAGTGAGAGACCAGAGAGAGACCAGAGAGAGAGACTAGAGGGAGACTAGAGGGAGACTAGAGGGAGACTAGTGAGAGACCAGAGAGAGAGACTAGAGAGAGACTAGAGAGAGACTAGAGAGAGACTAGTGAGAGACCAGAGAGAGAGACTAGAGAGAGACTAGAGAGAGACTAGAGAGAGACTAGAGAGAGACTAGAGAGAGACTAGAGAGAGAGACCAGAGAAAGAGACTGGAGAGAGAGAGACTGGAGAGAGAGAGACTGGAGAGAGAGAGACTGGAGAGAGAGAGACTTGAGAGAGAGAGACTGGAGAGAGAGAGACTGGAGAGAGAGAGGGACTGGAGAGAGAGGGACTGGAGAGAGAGGGACTGGAGAGAGAGGGACGAGAGAGAGGGGCGAGAGAGAGACCATAGAGAGAGACCATAGAGAGAGACCAGAGAGAGAGACCAGAGAGAGAGACCAGAGAGAGAGAGAGACCAGAGTGAGAGACCAGAGTGAGAGACCAGAGTGAGAGACCAGAGCGAGAGACCAGAGCGAGAGACCAGAGCGAGAGACCAGAGCGAGAGACAAGAGCGAGAGACAAGAGCGAGAGACAAGAGCGAGAGACAAGAGCGAGAGACTAGGGAGAAAGAGAGAGACCACAAAGAGAGAAAGAGACCTGAGAGAGACCGAGTCACAGTACCATCTGGTCCCCATGGTCCCATCTCCACTGTTGATATTCAGGTTGGACGAGAAAGTCCTGGATTCCATTCTTCTCTAAGCAACAAGCACATAGTTCAGCCTTTTTGAACCAGGTACTTCAATGGTGTGGAAAAAAATCGATTCTGTTCAGTATCGCAATATTTTTTGCTCTGAATGAAATTGATACAGTAGGAAAGAAGTGCAATATTTAACAAAATGATTATCTGTTTCACTGTGTTTTCTCTGAGTTTACTCTGTTTCATTTGCATTTGCGTGTTGCACCCACAAGGTGGCGCTTGTTTCGGTGCTTTGGTTTCATGCATTCATTCAGCAGCAAGTTTAAATCAAAATGGCTTCATCACAACTGGTTCCACACAACATAAAAGAGCATAAAAGACAAGTGATTAGTGACGTCTTGTCTGTAAAAAGGTCCTGTGTCCTGAATGTTCAAGAATCATGTTTTTGCACTTCCTCCGTGTTCCTCTTTTTCTATAATGTCTTTGAATAATATGAAGGACATGAATTGCTTTATATCGCATTATGTTAAAGGAGCAGTATGTAAAAATGTGGCCAAAAGTGGTACTGCAGCCTCTCCCACTCGTCTGCCAGATATGCAGACGAATCCAGCTGGGACCATAACAGCTGAATAGACAAGAGTTTTGTCAACAACAAATCTATAACCAACACCTTTTTCACAAAGATAGAAATCCTGCTTTTATTCCTGGTTTTGTCGTTAATGATTTGGGAATCATAACAAGAAATTTTTTAGTTCTGTGCCACATGGTACTTTACCAGTGAGATTAGCTTGACACGGTGAGTTCTGGCGCCCGGATCACAGACTTTCTGATTGGTGAAACGGTGGAGGGCGGGACATCGAAATGAAAACAATAACAAGATTTAGAGGCTGGAAAAGTAATTCAGAAATTCAAATATCTTTCAACTACTGTTATCAGTTAAAGAAGGACTGGAAAAGAGCAGGTTATTTTTTTGCCTTTGGACAGATTAGGGCCCTTTAATGATGACAGATTAGGGCCCTTTAATGATGACTTGACATGAAAATGTTAGATATCGCTACTTGAAGAATTGAGTTATTTCCAAACATCCACAATTCTATAGGGGCAGACCATAAATGTCGTTGAATATCTCGATTACTACTGTCCTGAAATCACACATACAAACAAACTTGTTCTGTGCCTCCTCTTCCTCTCTCTTCTGACAGATCACCTTCTCATAAAGTCATGCACAAGATTGAGATTGTGGCTTTTTTTGAATCGTTTTTAAACCTGACCCAGACTCTGCGGATAATCAGAATCAGAATCAGAATCAGAATCATTTTTATTGCCAACGTAAGTAACGGGAGGTCACAGACTTGGAAATTGCTTTGGCTCAGTGCAACAGTCAAAAAGAGATAATAAAAATAAGAATAAAAAACACTTCTAAAGAATAAATTTAAATTTAAAATAGAGTTACAGTTACTATTTACAATATACAAGTGCACATGGTGCACACAATGTAAGGTGACAGCAGTACAGTGAAGTAAAGTGACGTATGATGGGCAGTAAAGTGACTTTATAAAGGGCGGGGGGACAGGTTAAGAAGTGTTCAAGAGTCCAACAGCAGAGGGGAAGAAACTGTTCTTGTGGCGGGAGGTTCTAGTCCTGATGGACCGCAGCCTCCTGCCTGAGGGGAGTGGTTGGAATAGTCCATGTGCAGGGTGAGAGGGGTCGGCTGTGATACGACCAGCCCGGCCTCGAGCTCGGGCGACGTACAGGTCCTGCAGCGATGGAAGGCTGCGGCCGATCACTTCCTCTGCAGAGCGCACAATGCGCTGTAGTCTCTGTTTGTCCCTGACTGTGGCTCCAGCGAACCACACGGTGATGGAGGAGGTGAGGATGGACTCGATGATGGCCGTGTAGAACTGCACCAACATCTGTGCAGGCAGCTTGGCTTTCCTGAGCTGCCGCAGGAAGTACATCCTCTGCTGGGCCTTCTTGATGAGGGAGCTGATGGTCGGCTCCCACTTGAGGTCCTGGGTGATGGTGGTGCCCAGGAAACGGAAGGACTCCACAGAGGTGATGGGGGAGTCCATCACGGAGGGTGGGGGCGGGGGGACAGTGCTCTTCCTGAAGTCCACAATCATCTCCACTGTCTTCTGGGCGTTCAGCTCCAGGTTGTTACCACTGCACCAGGACACCAGCCGGTCCACCTCCCTCCTGTAGGCGGACTCATCGTTGTTGGAGATGAGTCCAATGAGGGTGGTGTCGTCCGCGAACTTGATCAGCTTCACGGAGTCGTGGCTGGAGGTGCAGTGGTTGGTGTACAGGGAGAAGAGCAGGGGAGAAAGAACACAGCCCTGTGGGGCTCCTGTATTTATAATCCGAGAGTCCGAGACATTCTTCCCCAGACGCACTCGCTGCTTCCTGTCCGTCAGGAAGTCAGTGATCCACCTGCAGGTGGAATCGGGCACGTTGAGCTGGGAGAGCTTGTCCTGGAGCAGGGATGGCAGGATTGTGTTGAAGGCAGAGCTGAAGTCCACGAACAGGACCCTGGCGTAGGTCCCCGGGGAGTCCAGGTGCTGTAGGATGTGGTGGAGGGCCAGGTTAATGGCGTCGTCTACAGATCTGTTGGCTCTGTAGGCGAACTGCAGGGGGTCCAGGAGGGGGGAGGTGAGGGACTTGAGATGGGAGAGAACCAGGCGTTCAAATGACTTCATGACGACAGACGTAAGTGCTACAGGTCTGTAGTCATTGAGTCCTGTGATCCTGGGCTTCTTCGGGACGGGGACAATGATGGAGGATTTGAAGCAGGCCGGGACATGGCAGGACTGCAGAGAGGAGTTGAAAATGTCCGTGAACACAGGAGTAAGCTCACTGGCGCAGTGTCTCAGAGTGGCCGGAGACACGTGGTCCGGGCCAGGAGCTTTGCGGGGGTGCAGCCTCAGGAAGAGTTGTTTAATCTCTTTAGCGGCTATTGTTAGGCTGGGGGCAGGGCTGATGGGTGGGTCGTTAGAGTAGTGGGGGGTGGGGGAGGGAGAGGTGTCAGGGGCAGCATCAAAGCGACTGAAAAATAAGTTCAGATCGTCAGCTAGCTTGTGGTCATCAGCACAGGGGGGGGCTTTGGGTTTGTAGTTGGTGATCTCCCGTAGGCCCCTCCAGACAGAAGCAGTATCGTTGTTACCAAACTGCTCCTGTAGTCGTTCTCTGTGCCGGGACTTGGCTGCTTTCAGTTCTTTCCTGAACTGATATTTAGCTGCTTTGTAGCCGCTGCGGTCCCCCTCCCTGAAAGCAGACTCCTTTGCTTTCCTGAGCTGCCGGAGTTTAGCAGTGAACCAGGGTTTGTCGTTGTTATAGATGACCCTGGTCCTTGTTGGAATGATGCTATCCTCACAGAAGTGGATGTATGACGTCACAGTGTCCGTATATTCATCCAAGCTGTCTGTGGCAGCTCTGAAAAGGTCCCAGTCTGTAGATTCCATGCATGCGCGTAGCTCTTCCACAGCTTCATCAGACCACACTTTGGAGCTCCTCACTGCAGGTTTCGAGAGCTTTAGTCTCTGTCTGTAAGCAGGAACCAGATGTATCATGGAGTGATCTGAGAAGCCGAGGGCTGGCTTGGGAACAGCGCGAAAAGCTCCGCGCACGGTGGTGTAACAGTGATCCAGAGTGTTCTCCTCTCTGGTCGGGCATTTGATAAACTGTCTGTATTTGGGTAATTCCTGGCTCAAGTTTCCCTTATTAAAATCCCCCAGGATAATAATCAGAGAGTCCGGGTATAAGCGTTCCATACACAGTACTTGCTCTGCGAGTGCGCGCTGAGCCTCGCGCGCGTCCGCGCATGGCGGTATGTAAACAGAGGCAAGAATGAATGAAACAATTTCCCGCGGGGAGTAATATGGTTTACAATGAATGAAAAGATATTCCAGAGCAGGAGAGCAGTGCTTGGAGATCACTGTCACATCGTTACACCAGTTTGTATTGACGTAGAAACACAGCCCTCCGCCTCTGCTCTTCCCTGAGAGCGCACAATGGCGATCCGCGCGAAACAGCCCAAAGCCCTGCAGCTCCAGAGCGCAGTCCGGGATCCGCTCATTTAGCCAGGTCTCAGTGAAGCAGAGGACACAGGATGTGGCGAAGTCCTTGTTTCTTCTCATGAGCAGGCTGAGTTCGTCCATCTTATTGCCCAGTGAGCGTACGTTGGAGAGAAAAATGCCGGGGAGAGCCGTGCGCGCTCCTCTCCTCCTAAGACGCACGAGCAGGCCTCCTCGCTTTCCCCTTTTACGGGCCCACACTTTTTTGGCTAGAACATGAACTAAATCAGCCGCAGATGCCAAGAAAACAGGCAATAGGTCCATGGGAACGGTGGGTCGGATGTTCATAAGTTCCTCACGGGTGTAGGAACAGCCAGATGCACAGTTAAAAAGTAAAAACAAAAGAAAAAGAGAGCAGCAAAGAGCCATGTCGACCGTACGAGGCGCCATCTTGAATCAATCAATAAATTGAGTTTGAGACGGCTGTAGATCCAAATCAGCAGACACGCGTCACTGCTGTTCTGAGGCCTCTTCCTCTGCCCAGCACCACTCTAATGAAAAGCCATGTTTTATCGCCCCGTGCTGGAGAGAGAGAGAGAGAGAGACGGAGAGAGATGGAGAGAGAGAGAGGGAGAGGAGAGTAATACAATTATACTCCAGCTCGTATGTCACAATATATGAGTCTCCACTATGTCAGGAGCCTATTACTTGAGTCAGATATGTGCTTGTTATCAATAGCTCCTTCCTGCTTCCTGCTTCACTGCTGTTCCCGGCTTCCAATTCATTTACATTCATGAGTCTATGTAGCTACTAAAAATGTCTGTGTCCTTTTTTATAGAGATGTTTTTACTTAGACGTTTAGACCAGTGGTTGTGTGTCCAATCACGGCTGTAAAGAAGTGGGCTGCCATCTTTGTAGTTCTGACTGCGGATGTGGAAATACACTGTGATAGACTACGATGACTGTCAAATAGAGAACGCAGAGAGAGAGAGAGGAGAGAGAGAGAGAGAGCGGAGAGAGAGTACACTATGAAGACTACGACGACTTTCAAAGAGAGAGAGAGCGGAGAGAGAGAGAGAGCGGAGAGAGAGAGAGAGCGGAGAGAGAGAGTACACTATGAAGACTACGACGACTTTCAAAGAGAGAGAGAGAGTGGAGAGAGAGAGAGCGGAGAGAGAGAGAGAGAGCGGAGAGAGCGGAGAGAGAGAGAGAGTGGAGAGAGAGAGAGTACACTATGAAGGCTACGACGACTTTCAAAGAGAGAGAGAGCGGAGAGAGAGTACACTATGAAGACTACGACGACTTTCAAAGAGAGAGAGAGAGGAAAGAGAGAGCGGAGAGAGGGAGCGGAGAGAGGGAGCGGAGAGAGACAGACAGACCGGAGAGAGAAAGGCCAGAGAGAGAAAGGCCAGAGAGAGAAAGGCCAGTGAGAGCAAGACCAGTGAGAGCAAGACCAGTGAGAGCAAGACCAGTGAGAGCAAGACCAGTGAGAGCAAGACCAGTGAGAGCAAGACCAGTGAGAGCAAGACCAGTGAGAGCAAGACCAGTGAGAGCAAGACCAGTGAGAGCAAGACCAGTGAGAGCAAGACCAGTGAGAGCAAGACCAGTGAGAGCAAGACCAGTGAGAGCAAGACCAGTGAGAGCAAGACCAGTGAGAGCAAGACCAGTGAGAGCAAGACCAGAGAGAGCAAGACCAGAGAGAGCAAGACCAGAGAGAGCAAGACCAGAGAGAGCAAGACCAGAGAGAGCAAGACCAGAGAGAGCAAGACCAGAGAGAGCAAGACCAGAGAGAGCAAGACCAGAGAGAGCAAGACCAGAGAGAGCAAGACCAGAGAGAGCAAGACCAGAGAGAGCAAGACCAGAGAGAGCAAGACCAGAGAGAGCAAGACCAGAGAGAGCAAGACCAGAGAGAGCAAGACCAGAGAGAGCAAGACCAGAGAGAGCAAGACCAGAGAGAGCAAGACCAGAGAGAGCAAGACCAGAGAGAGCAAGACCAGAGAGAGCGGGAGACCAGAGGGAGTGACCAGAGCGAGACCAGAGAGAGAGCGAGACCAGAGCGAGAGCGAGACCAGAGCGAGAGCGAGACCAGAGCGAGAGCGAGACCAGAGCGAGAGCGAGAGCGAGACCAGAGCGAGAGCGAGACCAGAGCGAGAGCGAGACCAGAGCGAGAGCGAGAGCGAGAGCGAGACCAGAGCGAGAGCGAGACCAGAGCGAGAGCGAGACCAGAGAGAGAGTGAGAGCGAGACCAGAGCGAGACCAGAGAGAGAGAGCGAGACCAGAGAGAGAGCAACCAGAGAGGGAGAGCAGAGAGAGAAACCAGATACAGAGACCAGCGAGAGAGAGACCAGAAAGAGCACGACCAGAGAGAGAGAGATTTCTGCTGCTCTGGTAACATCTCATAAAGGGAGTTCTGTTCACAGAATTAGTCTAAATGTATCAAAGCGTCGGCCTCTGAACAGTTCTCTGCAAGATTCCTGAAGCATCTCGTGTGTTTTCACAGCGGAGAAAAACGAGGAGATCGTGAAAGTGACGTTTGGAGAGCTGAGGCGGGAGGTGGCCTTGTTCGCCGCCGCCATGAGGAAGATGGGGATCCAGAGCGGAGACCGGGTGGTGGGTGAGTGCTCCCAGGGGTCTGAGGGTCTGGCCCCTTTGGCTCCTACTCAATGAGCCTCTTTATCTATACTTTCCACCTCAATGTTTGTGCAGCGAGACAGACACGTGACCAGGGAGAGACCAGGGAGAGACCAGGGAGAGACCAGGGAGAGACCAGGGAGAGACCAGGAAGAGACCAGGGAGAGACCAGGGAGAGACCAGGGAGAGACCAGGGAGAGACCAGGAAGAGACCAGGAAGAGACCAGGGAGAGACCAGGGAGAGACCAGGGAGAGACCAGGGAGAGACCAGGGAGAGACCAGGGAGAGACCAGGGAGAGACCAGGGAGAGACCAGGGAGAGACCAGGGAGAGACCAGGGAGAGACCAGGGAGAGACCAGGGAGAGACCAGAGAGAGACCAGAGAGAGACCAGAGAGAGACTAGGGAGAGACTAGGGAGAGACTAGGGAGAGACTAGGGAGAGGCAAGAGAGAGACTAGAGAGAGACTAGAGAGAGACCAGAGAGAGACCAGAGAGAGACCAGAGAGAGACCAGTGAGAGACCAGTGAGAGACCAGTGAGAGACCAGTGAGAGACCAGTGAGAGACCAGTGAGAGACCAGTGAGAGACCAGTGAGAGACCAGTGAGAGACCAGAGAGAGACCAGAGAGAGACCAGAGAGAGACCAGAGAGAGACCAGAGAGAGACCAGAGAGAGACCAGAGAGAGACCAGAGAGAGACCAGAGAGAGAGACCAGAGAGAGAGACCAGAGAGAGAGACCAGAAAGAGGCGAGAGAGAGGCGAGAGAGAGAGACCAGAGAGAGAGACCAGAGAGAGACCAGAGAGAGACCAGAGAGAGACCAGAGAGAGACCAGAGAGAGACCAGAGAGAGACCAGAGAGAGAGCAGAGAGAGAGCAGAGAGAGAGCAGAGAGAGAGCAGAGAGACACCAGAGAGACACCAGAGAGACACCAGAGAGACACCAGAGAGAGACCAGAGAGAGACCAGAGAGAGACCAGAGAGAGACCAGAGAGAGACCAGAGAGAGACCAGAGAGAGACCAGAGAGAGACCAGAGAGAGACCAGAGAGAGACCAGAGAGAGAGCAGAGAGAGAGCAGAGAGAGAGCAGAGAGACACCAGAGAGAGACCAGAGAGACACCAGAGAGACACCAGAGAGACACCAGAGAGACACCAGAGAGAGAGACCAGAGAGAGACCAGAGAGAGACCAGAGAGAGAGACCAGAGAGAGAGACCAGAGAGAGAGACCAGAGAGAGAGACCAGAGAGAGAGACCAGAGAGAGAGACCAGAGAGAGAGACCAGAGAGAGAGACCAGAGAGAGAGACCAGAGAGAGACCAGAGAGAGACCAGAGAGAGACCAGAGAGAGACCAGAGAGAGACCAGAGAGAGACCAGAGAGAGACCAGAGAGAGACCAGAGAGAGACCAGAGAGAGACCAGAGAGAGAGACCGGACCATATAAAAATGTTTTTGTTTGTAAACTTGTAAGAAAGATCCCAGAAGCAGAAACAAAGTAACAAACATAAGACTCAAGTTTCCTCAACAAAAGAGAAACTCCACCTGGTGCAGAGACCGGGCTTTTGTTCACTTACACATTTCTGGTGGCGAAGTGGATTCTGCGGCTCCGTTTTCTGCCGGATAATCTCACACTTTGAGTTTGAAGCCGGGATTTAGCAAAACTTCAGACTCTTTCTCTGTAAGAACAAGACAAAGCAGCACAGACTTTAACTGCGGTAAAAAATGTATAATAATGATAATAATGATATGGTTTTATAGAGTTTTTTCATGTTTGCCGTTATTCAGGCTTCATGGTGAGGCAGTGGTTAGCGCTTGTATCTCACAGCAAGAAGGTCCTGGGTTCAAGGCCTTTCTGTGTGGAGTTTGCATGTTCTACCCATGTCTGCGTAGGTTTCGTCCTTGTGCTTTGGTTCCCCCTGCCACGATAGAGTAGGCTCCCAGACATAGGCGAGAGAGAGAGAGAGAGAGACCAGAGAGAGACCAGAGAGAGAGACCAGAGAGAGAGACCAGAGAGAGAGACCAGAGAGAGAGACCAAAGAGAGAGACCAGAGAGAGAAACCAGAGAGAGAGAGACCAGAGAGAGAGACCAGAGAGAGAGACCAGAGAGAGTGACCAGCGAGAGAGACCAGCGAGAGAGACCAGCGAGAGAGACCAGCGAGAGAGACCAGAGAGAGAGACCAGAGAGAGAGACCAGAGAGAGAGACCAGAGAGAGAGACCAGAGAGAGAGACCAGAGAGAGAAACCAGAGAGAGAGACCAGAGAGAGTGACCAGCGAGAGTGACCAGCGAGAGAGAGACCAGCGAGAGAGAGACCAGCGAGAGAGAGACCAGCGAGAGAGAGACCAGCGAGAGAGAGACCAGCGAGAGAGAGACCAGCGAGAGAGAGACCAGAGAGAGAGGGACCAGAGAGAGAGGGACCAGAGAGAGAGGGACCAGAGAGAGGGACCAGAGAGAGAGACCAGCGAGCGAGACCAGCGAGCGAGACCATCGAGCGAGACCATCGAGCGAGACCATCGAGCGAGACCATCGAGCGAGACCATCGAGCGAGACCATCGAGCGAGACCATCGAGCGAGACCAGCCAGAGACACCAGCCAGAGACACCAGCCAGAGACACCAGCCAGAGACACCAGCCAGAGACACCAGCCAGAGACACCAGCCAGAGACACCAGCCAGAGACACCAGCCAGAGAGACCAGCCAGAGAGACCAGCCAGAGAGACCAGCCAGAGAGACCAGCCAGAGAGACCAGCCAGAGAGACCAGCCAGAGAGACCAGCCAGAGAGACCAGCCAGAGAGACCAGCCAGAGAGACCAGCCAGAGAGACCAGCCAGAGAGACCAGCCAGAGAGACCAGCCAGAGAGACCAGCCAGAGAGACCAGCCAGAGAGACCAGCCAGAGAGACCTCCATATGCTTTGGTTTCCTACCAGGATAGATGAGGCTCCCAGGCGGGGGCGACCAAATGACAAAGACCGGATTTGAGGGTCCCATCATGACGCCATAACAGGCAATTGGACAGTGGGTGAATAGCAATGAACAGACTACAACTGAATGACAGATAAAGCAGGAGAGAGCAGAGGATAACCATTTACTGAATTAAAGAGCCGTGATTTCATCCTGGCCAGAATGTACAGACTGTGGCAGGTTCCTGATGCCGGAGTATCGGAGCTTGGAGGATAAACACTCTGGCTCCTGCTGTGCAAACTCTAACAACAGTTTTACAGTTTAGGCAACGTCTTAAAGTGTAATTTGAGATCTTTTTCTTGTCCGAGTCAGAACGAGAGTCACATTTCTTTCACACTTGAGTGTTTCTATCCATGCCAAATGTGACCTGTAAATTTCTCCTTTGTA